AATGGGTGTTTGGCTAAATACCCCATCTTGTCTTCCTTCTTCTGCATTAAGCTGAGACCTTCAACCAAATTAAATTATCCTTTCTCTTTTTTTTTTTAATCATTTCACCCCATGCAAGGGATTACTGGTAGTGAAAGAGATTAAGAAGATTTCAGGAGAAGTAACTTGAAACAGGAAACAAGGGATAAAACCTTTACTCCTGTTCAAAAGATGAGGAAAGAGAGTAAACAAGACAGTAAAATAAATTTTTATATGTCCATTAGCTGAGCTAAACTACTTTCAGTTGAGTTAGGTTACAGAATAATGATATGACAAGCGGTGAGTGAAGCAGTTACAGATGTTAAATTGGGAAGATGTTTTCAAAAAATAAACAATTCTAAAACGACTGATTTTAGTCAAGGTTCAGTACAAAGAAAAGAGATTACTTATAAACCTTAGCCTAATATGGCACAAAATCAAATGGAATAAGATGACTGCGCTGTGCCGATCTTTGAAGCAATAAGAGTCAGCTTGCCTTGAAAAATGAATAAATGCCATGACTGTAGAAATTAGTACAAGCATGTAAGGGAGAAAAAGAATACTTGAAATTCCACAGAGATATAAAGCAAGTATTAATCAAAGTAATATATAGAAGACTCAATAAAATCAAACCACGGATTTAAGAAGAAAATTAAGTTAATTAACGTCATTTGGCGTTGAACATCTTAATCTTTTATTATCCAGTGAGATTTACAATGAGAAAAACAGAGTAGCCTCCCTTAGACAATTTTTACTGTCTGTGAACATTACATCTCTAGAAAACATGGGGAAAACGTTTACATTTACAATTATATAATTTTTATCAGCAATCATGACATTACAGTAGTTAGGGGTTAATTTCTCAAAATTCTGAGAACGAGTTTGATCTTTGTCGAATCTTTTTACGGTCTGGCTGTGTGCTATATTTTTTATTTATTTAGTTTGGATTTTCCATTGGCGTTTAAACAAATCATTTCTTAAAATAACTTACCTCCATTTAGTGCAGAGGATTTGAAGCTAAATATTTTCCGATGTTTTGTTTATAAGAAAATTGACAATAATAATAAGAAGAAATAAAAAGTAAATAATTTCTGATGCATGACAATTTCAAATCCAAATATAGAAAATAAGAGAGAACGAGACTAGTTAAAAAAAAATGTAAGGGAGGTAATTCCGTCTGAAATTCTGCCCGAAAATTGATTAGAGCGGCTAAAATCAACAGTATCCGAAAAGTAGAATAAGTTTTAATTCGAACAGATCGGCCATCATTGGGCTTATGATTTTGAAGGGGTTCTCTCGAAACCGAGATGCCAGGCCAGGACCTATAACATTGTAGATTCTCTTGGGATTTTATCAAGAGCAGAATGTGGCAGCAATATTCAATGCATAGACGAATGGTAGTCATTATAAGAATTAAATTAAAAACAATCAAAGAAAAAAAAATAGCTAACGTATGTGAAACCCTTTGTGATATAAAATAAGGAAAAACATTAAATCAATAAGAAAAGAGTGTCTGAACTGAAGTCATGTGAAAAGTTTCATTTCTGTTCACGCGTCCAGCGTTCAGATTTTCGCCAGTGTCAAATTACTCGCCAATTATATTATCGGCCTTAACCGAGTACGTAGCACTTCAAATAACTTTATTTCAACAATCAAAGAAGGCTAAGTATTTCAAACTGTCTCTCTTCATCTACTTTTGAACTTATGCAACTATTTTCGAACATTGGGTCGCATGAGGTACATTATTTTTCATCATTCAAAACATGCGAAAAACTTCAAGCGTGTAAATTCCGCTCTTTTAACCCCGAAGCCCTAAAAAACACGACATGGGTCGTATCAATTTCCTCCGTATTAAAGATAACCGACGCAGCCATTTTCCCAATTGAAATGAGCATGCAACTATTTTCGCATCATGAGGTACATTACATCATAAGCCTCTAAAAAAAAAATCGGGGAAGAGATACGAGCCATTTTTTGAAGAGCTTTGGAGAAGAGGTTCCTTCTATAATAAAAAAAAGAAAACAAAACTGATGTCTTGGTATAATATCACTCATGAGAGTGATTAATACATACTGTTGCATGTGATTTGTTTCTAATTTATTCATTTGTCTATACAAAAATATTTGTAAAAGAAGTATATTTATTTTCTAGATAAAATTATCCTTGACGTTTCCTGTTTCTGAAGCAAAAAGTATTTACATGTATGATCCCCCTTAGTGAAAATTACCAATGGTTTAAAATGATGAAAACGTCATCTTCAAGGAAAAGTTACAAAATTCAAGAAACACTGTACTTAACCATTGAAGAAAGGGAAAAAATTGTTAATTCTTCATTTATATAAAATATTTGTAGATTTTAAGCGGCAGACAGTGAATGACATTCTGCTGTTCATGTATCAACAGAAAGAAAGAATCTAGGCTACGCTATGTAGGCTAAAAAAGCTCTGTACCGTTAAGGTTAGCCAAAGGTACAGTGAGAATGTAGGCCTACCAAGTAGGTTACGGTTTTAGCTACGGTTCTGCTACCACTTATCTATCAATGTTAATTTTGGTGCAAATCTGTGCAAAAAGTGGGTCAGAGAGCCTTGATATTTTTCTCACTTCTCATTGGTCAGTTAATATTTAAGCTACGCGTTATTCAAAACCATTTTTCCGATCACATGATTACGTTTATTATAAATACCAGACACAAGTTCGTTCTTCTCTCTCTTCTCTTTTTGATTTCTCTCGCTTTTCGACCTTTTACGGGCGGACGCTCTGAAATCATATTCACACACGCACACATACACATACGTATGGGACATTGCATAACATTTTATTACAAGATACAGAAACTTAATTACGAGCATTACGGAACATTCGCTCTTCTGGAGCTAAAAGTTTATCAACATATTCTCAGCTTTACAGAATTCTGTCAACTCTCTCACAGTGAACATTTTGAGCGGCAAGTTCATTCAACTTTTTATGAGCTCAGATAAAAAAAAATGTTTCTTTAGTAAAGACTTTAATTCAAATCAAAGGGAAGTAACTCCTATTAATTATGTTTGTATTCATTGACATACATAAATACGAATATTCTTGTTATAAAACCGTTTTGTGTTCCTTCTTATTGTTTCATATTTTGTGGTATTTTGCGTTAAATATAAATTCGAGAGGTCACACCAACTAACAGGCCTCTATACGGTCGCCTAAAATGCATGAATTTTAACCCTTCCAGAAAGAAATTACCTGTGTATAGTGCAACCGGTTACTGAAAAGTGAAAATACCTGATTTTTAACCTCTTCAAAAAAATAAAATAAAATAAAAAATTACTTGTGTATAGTGAAACACCTTATTTTTTGCTTAAAAACTGATCATAAAAGCTCACACTATACTCGTGTATATACGGTAAGTCGAACTGAAAACTAGTAATCGTCTGATTCCCAATGTTTAGCCCTGATCAGCTGTTGCATTGACGATCTTTTAGGAATATAAGAGATAAACCCTATTTCCAGCACAGATTAAATACCCACATAAATATCTTATTAAAACACGCCTAAACTTTATTTTCTACCCAATAACAGATAATATTACAAACACACTAAAAAGATTCCACAATACAACCCACACTGTTTAAATTAAAGTGATCGTTGAATAGAAATTAACATCACCCCGTGAAATATTTAGCCAATCAGAAAACTAAAACCTTATTTTTCTCGACCCTAATTTCGGGAAAAAAAATCTTATAAAACCTCACAGAAGTCCGTGTTCCCCGCCCCGCGTCTTATGAAAGAAACGTCGGCGACCTTAAACGAATCAACACCAACAACAGCATAGACGGCCAGTCGGGGACATCAAATGAATCATCTCCAACAACAAAGATGGTCAGTGAATCTTCGCTAATGATAAAAGTCTTTTCTCAACAGCAACCTATTTTTCTGTGGGCCAACTATCTAAAAGTCTTTTCTAAATCACAGATTTTCTGTGTACCAACTACTCAAAGAGTAATTCAATTAAAGACTATTTTTGCTCCTTTTCCACACATTTGAATTCATGTACATATGTTTTTAAATACAAATGACTTCTTTATTTTATGTTTTCTTTATTTTTATTTTATTATTTTTGGAATTCGGACGTTTAGATGTTTAATATAAAAAACAACCCTGGACGACAGAATTTCCCACACACGAATTAAGTAAATGCTTATAGACTAAAATATAAACGGTCAATATTGATGTATCTCCTGATCAATTAAATGCTTATAGATTCAAATACAAATGGTCAGTATTTACCTATCCTCGAACCAAGTAAATGCTTACAGACTCAATTGTAAATGACCAATATTTATCTATTCTTAAATAAATTAAATACTTATCGGCTCAGATACAATAATAAAAAAGACTGACTTCAATATTAAGTAGCCTAACAGGTGATGACAAGTCGTAAAATCAACCACCCTAACCCAACTCAACCTAGTCCCCATATCTAGTCTTGTCTGTTATTTTTTCCCTCTTATGTGCATATCTAGTGTCGTCGGGGTCAAGAATTTAGAAAATCAAATTTAAAATACTATCACTTCAGAATTACCAAATGTGAAGGACATTTGAAGCTTTTCTGCTATAAAAATGATTAATTCTACTTTGCGTGCATGCTGTATGTATAAAAATGCCATAAAAACATCAGTGATGTCAAAATCGACTACGTAAAAATTAAGTCTGGAGCCATAGGCTCCAATTTAAAGTCACTTCTTAAGTCTCAACTCGTACCGACCATATATTAGCGTAAAAACAAATATGCCACAAGGCTGTTAAATCTTTAGAGCAGCCAAACCAGAAGCGCTTTAAGCACTGTGCATTGTCTTGGCTTGGCTCAATGGCCTGCAGAGATGGATTGTATTTGAGGATACAAGAGTGTGGAATCAGATGATTGTCATCTATTTGGCCTGACATTCACCCTGGGTCAGGGAATTACAGCAGAAAACATTCCCACATTACTCATGATAGGAATTTGAATTTACGAGAATCTACCACAGTCTGTTATCTATCTGTCATTTTGTTCATTATCTATCTATCTATCTATCTATCTATCTATCTATCTATCTTGGTCTGTTCAGATCTATCTATCTATCTATCTATCTATCTATCTATCTATCTATCTATCTATCTATCTTGGTCTGTTCTATCTATCTATCTATCTATCTATCTATCTATCTATCTATCTATCTCATTTTCTGATGTCTATCTATCTATCTATCCATCTATCTATCTATCTATCTATCTTGGTCTTCATCTATCTATCTATCTATCTATCTATCTATCTATCTATCTATCCCAACTCTGTCTATCTATCTATCTATCTATCTATCTATCTATCTATCTTGGTCTGTCCAGATCCATCTATCTATCTATCCATCTATCTATCTATCTATCTATCTATCTATCCCCTGTTCAGCATCTATCTATCTATCTATCTATCTTCCATCTATCTATCCATCTATCTATCTCAGTTTTCTGACGTCCATCCATCCATCTATCTATCTATCCATCTATCTATCTATCTATCTATCTATCTATCTATCTTGGTCTGTTCAGATCTATCTATCTATCTATCTATCTATCTATCTATCTATCTATCTTGGTCTGTTCAGATCTATCTATCTATCTATCTATCTATCTATCTATCTATCTATCTATCTATCTATCTATCTCTGCTCAGTATCTATCTATCTATCTATCTATCTATCTATCTATCTATCTATCTATCTATCTATCTATCTATCTCAGTTTTCTGATGTCTATCTATCTATCTATCTATCTATCTATCTATCTATCTATCTATCTTGGTCTGTTCAGATCTATCTATCTATCTATCTATCTATCTATCTATCTATCTATCTATCTATCTATCTTGGTCTGTTCAGATCTATCTATCTATCTATCTATCTATCTATCTATCTATCTATCTCCGATTCAATATATATCCATTTACATATCTACCTTGTGAGACTGACTAAAACAGGGAAATTTCAATCTATTGATAATACTTGATGCTAGGGCCCAAAATAAAAGCCTACATTTTTTTTTGAGAAATATAAATATTTTATTTCTACCAAATCGAAGTTCTTGTGACAATCACAAAAACTTATTAGAAAGAGCAAGACAATAGTAGGCTCAAAATTACAAAACAAGACAATCACTGCGTAAAATTTTAAAAAGAAAAACACATTTATTTTACAATTACGGAAAAAGATACAAGTTTGCAGAAAAATTTCCTTTTTGCGCCCATTAAGGCAGGATAACAAAATAAAAAGATACCAGCGTAAAATGGAAAAAAAACCCTAGAGTTTGGGAAAAGACAAGGATTTTGAAAATGACGAAAAGAGAAAAAAAGCAGTAAAAAAACAAAGTTGCCTTTGAGAAAAAACGAAAAGAGCTACTCTCACTTGCCCCACAAGCATCTTTGGAACACAGTAATATTCAAAAAGTCCCTTTTAACTTCACATAGTTCGTGCTGGGGAAAATTTCTTAGAATTCCTAATTTACGTAATCTGTGCTGGAAATAGGGTTCTTGGTTGTCCAACCACTTGAACTTTTGCTCTCTTCGTGGCTGGATGGTAACTGGTGCCTTCTTTGATGTTTTCTTCTTCATGTCAAATGACTTCTTTAATGTTGACGGTCTTGCCTTGTTCCCTTGCTGTCAAAACGTCTTCTCATCGTAATCTACTAGCATGAGCTCTATTTATTTTAAAATTTAGGCTCACCTCTGCCCCACTATTCGGAATGCTATTAGAACTTGAGACCACGTCTCTCATTGATGAATATATGCGAAAAAATAGACCCTTTAAAAAATTGACTGGTTTTAATCGCTGAATCGAAAACGATGTACAATTATAACAATTTTTAATAAAAACTATCTGGCCTTCAGAAAAATACACTTTTCTTAAAAGAACGTATATTAAAAATCAACAACCTAGACGATTATACATTTATACAACGCTAACATTTTAAAATAATAAAAATAAATTTTTTATAGAAAGTCCAACCGATGTGTCACAGTCTTTTCTAACTAACCTAAAGGTATGATTTTTTTATGAGAGAACTCAGTGCGTATTTAGGATATGTCAAATAGAGCACGTAACTTGGGTGCCATTGGTGGGAGGACGCCACTGAACAAATAATTTGTAGCGTAGTATTTGTTAATTGAACCTTAAGCACTAAATCGTCTGGCAATATTTTAGAAAAAGAATGAGCCCAAAGTGAGTTACCAAAATCAAACAAGTGCTGAGAACCGAAGGTGTATTGGAATAGCCGAAGATGCATTCGAAAAGCTAAGCAGAGTGCTATGAAATAGGAAAATTTCGCTAGAAAAAAGGAAAAGAATACTAAACTGCTATGTGATATTTGTCCCCCTATATGGCAGTGTATACTGGATGACCTCCACAAAACTGAAGAGGGGATTTGAACCGACAGAAATGTGGTTCTACAGAAGGCTGCTCAGGATACCGTGGACCGAACATCTGAGCAACGACAAAGTTTTAGAGAAAATGAAAACAAAAAGGAAACTAATACGTAACATCTGGAAGAGACAGTTGAGGTTTCTGGGGCACATAATGAGGAAAGAGAGCTTGGAAAATCCGATACCCACGGGATAGATAGAGGGCAAGAGGAACAGAAGAAAACAACGCATAGCATAATTAATGGGCTTGAGGAAATGGATGTCGAAATAGGGTTTAGGAGAAATAACAGAAAAAGAAATTTTAAGAGCTACAAGGAACAGGAAGTTGTAGAGAGCCATGATCACGTACGTCCTAAGGGGACACGGCACATAAAGAAGAAAAATGCCGATGTCAAATCGAGTCAATATAAAAGTATCAAGTTTATGTCTATATTTCTGAGATAAGGTATTGTAACTATTTACACTATTTACATTGTTCGGACTGTTGTCCTCATTTTTATTGTCATATTCACGATGTTTCGGCATATGCACGCTCTGTATTTCTTCAGGTGATATACGTTGGAATTTCGAACCGAACCGTTTAGTTAGTCCAGGGTGGTGGGTAGATTGGGTAAAAGTAAAATAATCTCATCATATATACCGGGTGTAACAGCAAAATTGTTCAAATCGTCTTACACCATAAGTGTCCATCCCACAAAATACTTAATATCTTAAAAACAACCAATAAACTAATTGGGTTTCTTTTTTCTATGTTTTCAGAAGTTCGCACGCACTACAGTAAATTTTTGGACATTTAGCGTTCATATCATCTTTGTGACATTTTATAGTTTCATATTAATATGGAAATCTGCATACGCTTATGAATATCTCCGGTTCTGCGATTGCAGAACATCTGATAAAAAAATCCGTTTTTTGTGCCTCGTCTTATAACAGAGATTTTTTTTCCCAATAAGTCAGCCGAACACACCCAGAAAACCATTTGAAAATGCTTGAGACTTTGTATATTGATTCAAAGCAACCTTCCCACTCTAAGCAGAAGTAATGATTGCTGGGTTTTCTGTCATCTCTCTGTGATTAATATTGCTGATTCTTTAGTCGTACTTTCTTCCCCCTCGTTTATTTGTCTTCGAATGAGCTCTGAAGAACGAAGGGAGATAACCAGCTACTTTTTTTTTGTTTCGATTTTGCTATAATTTTCGTTATATTTTTCGATTCACCACCGTTTATGTTATCCTTGCCCGCGCCTTTGTTTTATTTGTATATATTATATATATTATATGGACATATTTGTATAGATATTATATATATTATGTAAATATAATCTTATTTATATTCTATAGGTTATATGAATATATTTGTATATATGTAATATATATTATGTGAATTTATTTGTATATATGTATTATATAAATATATTTGTATATAACATATATATTATGTGAATATATTTGTATATATATATAGTTATTTTCTAAGCGTAGCTTAGATGTAGCACAAAGGCCGATTTTGTATATATATATATATTATATATTATATGAATATATTGTGTATATATTATATATATTGTATAAATATATTTGTATATATATATATATATATATATATATATATATATATATATATATATATATATATATTATGCTAATATATTTGTATGCATCCAGTTCTCATTTTCCTGTCTTGATAGCGTCCAAAGACTTGTCAGAATCCTTGTTGGAGGAGAATTACTTTCCACCCTCCAACCTCTTTACCACATGCGGGTTGTGGCTGCTCTATCGCTACTATCATTGAAAGTGCTCGGACGAACTACATTCCTTGGTTCTGCTAGGTCTAACCTTCACGGCTAGGACCCGCCATGCTACTTACATAGTAGCGAACCATCCACATTCCCCCCGTATTCCATCAGAGAGACGTTCCACTCAAGCAGCTTCTTTCCGTGACTTCCAAGGGAAGCGAATTCCCCGATCACTACAATTTTAATCTGTTCAAGAGTTAACTGTTATTTTCGCCTTAACGTAACCCTCTACCTCGAGTAGCCCATGTGCTTTGTACAGTACTGTAAATAAATAAATAAATATATATATATATATATATATATATATATATATATATATATATATATATATATATTATATGTATAGTGATCCACAAACAGACTATTTCCTTTGGTCCTCAGTGTGGCTAGACGCCCGATTGCTTTAAACCGGGATCGAAACCCGACTGATTTGACATAGTCAGACATCCTATCCATAGGCCATCGTCACACGGCAGAAAGGAAGGGAATTTTAACGTTTTTCTCTATACGAAATACGGCAGTGGCTTGGAGAACTCAATTCATACTTGAAGAGTAATGCTGGAGTAATGCTATATTATATGAATATATACTTTTAAAATGTTCGTTTTTAAACACATAATATGGTTTTGCAACCCCAACAGATTATTTACCGTAAGTTTTATATTCATTTTTATGAAATTTTATAAACTAAAATAAGTTCTCGGTCTGTACGAGCTTTGACTGGATCATTCAATAGAAATACACGTGCTCACTGGTACTTAAGCTCACTCGGTTTGCCAGTAAACTTCGTGCTATCGACCCGTGTTCGATTATTACATTATCATTTGTGTTGGAATGGCTTCGCGATCTTTACGATGGCCAACAAATACGAGCAACGTGCTTTGCTATCAGATTTTGCACGAGACCCGTCAAGTCAGTGCCGCTTGGAATTGTCAAACCTGTGAGAATTTTTCAACTTATAAAACCAGCGTACCGGCTCAAATAAAAAAGTTTCTTTGGGATTTTTTTTCTTCTTTCTAAGTTTAATAAACTGAAACAAAATAGGCGTGCTGTACCAAATATGCATCATGCGGGGGTGGGGGTAGGGTGTTGTGTGTGGTGGAGTACTGATGGAAATAGTTTAGTCGTGCCGGCGCTTGTATTTGGTGCATAAGTGTACCGAGACCTTGAAATGTTTTATTAGAAAGAAAAAAGAACAAATAAAACAGGGTTGAAAAAGAAAGAAAAGGAAGTAAGATTAAATGAGTGTAGACTGAAAAAAAAAAAGAGTCTGTAGCGGACCGCCCGGAAGGGGGGAAGCGATGTTATATGGCCCGAATTCCCCAAAGACGTAGGAGGACACAAGAGGCTCACTAACACTTTCAAATTAATGACATGAAATCTGTCAGGTGAAACATTATGGACAACAGAAACGATTAATACGAAATTTATTTACAGTATAGACCAGAGTCTTCATAGGTTAGATTACCATGTAAGATTAGTGAAAGGTTGCAGGTGATCGCTGCTGGTCGTTGCAGGTCAAAACCAATGTCCAGTGCTGGCGTTACGCTGTTGCTGGTCGGGTCCAGTGGTAAATCTCCCGTAGTATTATAACCGTAGTGTATGGGATAGGTTAGAGTCTGGAGCGAGTAGGGACCGATGTGTAGCCGGAAGTTGCAAGACCAAGAATGCCAGAAATAACGGTCTGTGATCGTCTGAAGTAATGAATAGTAAGAGTGTGCCGGAAAGTAGTAAAGGTCAAGAGTGCCGGAAGTAGAAATGCACAAGAAACCTGAAGTAAAAAAAAAAAGAAAAAAA